AATAAATAAATAAATAAATAAATAAATAAATAAATAAATAAAGTAAATACACACAAACCTATCAGACTTCAAAACACTGCATAACATTCTGTTTTCAAAAATCTACTTTTGGAGGTCACCAATTGTTTTACAGAGAACAAGACTTCAAGATCTTAAAAACTTCAGTCATAGGAAGGAACTGGGATGATGGAAAATCAGCCTGTGTGACTGGGAGCAGGTGGGAACAGGTATGCATTGGTCAACCCTGGTAGAAATCGTAGGAGCCAGGTCTTCTATCTTTCCTTGGCCAAGAAAGCAGCGTGTTCTGCTGTTGTGCTGAAAGTTCTTGGTCAAGTCCTTCTACTATATTCCCATGACCTGCCAAGTCCATGTTTGGGAAATGGCTGTCATTAAATGAATCTACTATTTACTATGAAGAAAATACAGTTAGATCAAGGCTACCATGCTTTCTGGAGAGAAATTATAGTAGCTATGTAGAATGTAGTTGAGTGCATTTCTATTTTTCTGCCACATGACACATTTATTAGCACAAACACAGAAAAAGAGGCATTTCCTAAAATATTTTGTGGACATAATTTCACAAATTCTCCTAGTAACAAATTTATAATACTTACGTCTCCATTTATATGCCAGAAAAGTAATGAGGCAACCAAAAAGCACTAAAATGATTATGAAGGGTGCAATCCAAGGGGAAGAAGTTGGATAAAAAGCATCTGAAAGACACATTGAAATCTTACCTAGATTTATTAGTATTAGTATTGTATTATCAATTTCCAGAAGAAATTCAAAATTGCCAAAAAAACAAACAAAAACAAAAACAGTTTAGCTGAAATTTATCCAGTATTCAAGATGAACATAGATATGGCTACATCATGGGGGACGGAAGCATTTTAATTCAATTTAGTCTAATTTAGTTTAATTAATTAAGTTAATCAAGTAATTTAATCAAGTCAATAAATTGTTAATTAACCTACTGTCTTTAAATTAAATATGATTTTGAATGCCATTTAATTTGGACTTTAAGGACAAGATTTCCAAGTGAACCATGTGATTCTGCAATGACCACCCTCAAATTCAAAATGGAAAAAGAATTGCCTCTTCATGGTACACATATTCTCTAATTTTAAATTCTTTCTGTACTTCACATGGATAATAAGAATATTGTTTCATTTAATTACGTAGTAATGGTAACCACAAGTACTTAGCTGATAAAATATGCAGGCTCTCAGGACCTATTTTGTGATCTCTGCAGGTCCTCAAGATTCCAAAATTCAGCAGTGACCTGCCAACTGCAGTGATTTTCCTGCATTTTTTTTCTGTCCCCAAAATAAGTAGCAAAATTCACAATAGGCTTAATCTACAGATTCAATATAGAAGTGAACATTGTTTCCCAAAATTGGGAAAAATGGCCTCCAGTGGTGGGGAAAAGACACACAGAATCCTTTCTTTCCATCTGTCCAGAAACAAGACCTTTTTGTAAATATTGTCCTATTTTCAGCTCTTGGATGTGCAAGGAGTTGGGCACTGGCAGGACTGAGGTTCTCTGGCCAGGGTTCCTCTCCTCCGGCATCCAAGACCATGAAAACAGCACCTACTCTTGGTCTCTTTGCTCCTGCTTTTCAAGTGTGAGTGTGTTGCAGATCAAAGATGGGATTGTAAGGAAAGAAAAAATAGCTGTAAGGTCATTTTTAAAAGAGGTAGGCACTGTCCTTAATTTAAAGAATATACTTATGTGGTACTGGACCTGGGATATGCATTCTGGCTGTGCTGGATCTGCAGCTTGAATATGCAGCTCTGAATGCTTTGAAACAAATATTGTGCCAATATTGTGCCATAATATATTTTAAAAAATTATTGTATAAGGTACACTAACAAATTAACGAGTATCTCTTTTTAAAACAACGAGTAGAGATATAATTCTCTAACAGTATATTCCAAGTAAGCTCAGCTACTAAAATTCAAACTTTGGTCCATCCCCCACTTACCAGAAATGAGGATTCGGGATTCTCTCTCACTCTTTACTAGATTGTTGATGATTTTGCAGGAGACTTCATTATCCACTCCTGGCTCCAGTGTAATGGAACCAAAAACCCAAAAGATACCCGCCACGACCTCTGTGTTTGCTATGGCTGACTTCTCTGTCCGGTTTTCCCCTCTGCTGTCCAGCCAGAGAGCCTGAGGTCTTGGATACCACCCCTCAGAGCTGCAGGTGAGACCAATACCTTGGCCCTTGTAATCTGCCAAGGTAATAGTGGGGTCACCTCCATTTGCTGCGCAAAAATAATATGTGTTAAGTTTTCACTGCCACAGAAAACATAGAATCTGTCTAGAGTATCCTTATCCTGAAGGAACTTTGAAACTGACAATTAGCCTATTTTCCAGAAGCAGTTATTTTTTCTAAAAGAAAAAAGAAGGATTTGCATAAGCATCCTGTTTTTCATTTTACAAATACTTCTGTGACATTCTGAAGTGTTCCCACCCCAGTTTCCTGATGACAATTAATGGTCTAAGACACCATTAGACTACTATTCATCAATGTCAGGTAGCATTGTTATCGTTGTTGTTATTTCCTGTAGTAGAAAACTGATGGCTCTCTTCTAACAAGTATGGGGCAAGTAAATGGGGACAGTTGAGAACATGGCATGGGTTTCTATACACTTGAGTGGGACTCTGGGTGTGCAGAGCTTTGTGATCTGTAACATGCAGAGTAGAAGGTGTTGTTTTGTCTTTTCTTGGCTTTTAATTTTAGACTGGGAAGCCAGGAATACTGGAAATCATTGGAGATAAGATCTCATAATGAAAGGTTTCTTGGCTACCTCATAGGTAAAGGCAAGAGCCATGGAACCTGTTTATGAAAATACCAATAATGTTTGACTCTTTAGGGGTAAAAAGTATTTTTTTTTTCATGAAATTGAAGAATAATAGTTAACAAAAAAAGGACCACTCGTGCAACATATATAAATAAAAAAAACTAAAAAAGGTGAGCTGACTGTGCACTTTGGTGCAACATAATAGCTATCAGGTTTAAGACCGATGAAGTGGCAATGAAAAGAGTTTAAATAAAAGTTTACTCCATTTTGTCTTCTCTCCACTGCTGTTTACAACATGATCTCTTGCATGCTAATAATGTTGGTTTATCTTAAGAACATATAAAATCATCTCACCTACTAAAACTAGCTGAACCAGAATCATGTAATACCAGTCATCAAGGTAGATCTTACAGGTGTATAGTCCCTGGTCAAAGAGACTTATGTTCCTCAGGAGCAGGGACATGTTGCCTTTATTAATCTCAGAAGCAAAGAGCTCCGTTCGACCCTGATATCTTCTATCCTGTGTTTCCCCATGCTTTCTGTTATAGTTTTTCACTTCAATTTTTTCTGATTTTTCCAAGATCCATTGAATTCTGAAGCTGGCATTTGCAATTGGCTTCAAAGTTTCTAGCACACATGGCAAGATTACTTCCTTTTCAAGGTATCCAATCACAGGATTATTTGGTGGTCTGATTGAATATCTACCTTCAGAAACAAATCAAGATGTCATTGCAATGTGGAAATTGTGCTTTTGCAGTCCTTTCCCCATTTCCTCCCAGTTTCATTGCCATGTTTATAGGATGTGAATTTCAGTGATGGGACGTGAGACTGAGACACCATCAGGAATAGACTCTGGAATGAAATTTGATGTTATGTGATAATATAACATCACATGTTTCTAATGACTGCCATATTTTCCCTGCAATGTGGTATAATAAGTGCAAGATGGTTCTCCCTCAGACTGCTTCATTCATATATCATTACCTTGAAACCAAAAGAATAATTACCGTAGACTGTCTGCAAGACAATAGTTTACCTGCTACATGTGAGATCTGCAGAAGTATCGTGATACAAACAGTAGAGAAGAAGGAACACATGGAGCTGGAGATAGGTCAAGACGTCACATGCAATTCTGTGAAAAAAAATACTATACTTGGTTGGTTTGGTTTTGGTTGATTTGCTGTTATAATTAGTATTTAAACATTACACAAATGATGCATTAATAGTGTATAATGTTTATAATTTATTGCTAGTAAATGTTGAAAATAATAGTTGAATTAATTCAAAAGTAGCAGTAGAGTAATAAATGTATTAATTTAGTTTACTTAACTAAATTCTTCTGGACTAATTACAGGCAAGCAATTCTGATTTTTTAAAAATTTTGCCAATGTTCTTCTTTAAATGGATGCACTAATATTTAATTCTGTCATTTACAAGTCACATAAAAATTATTCATAAGATTTTACAAATGTTACCATGCATTTCTTTAACTGTTATCGCTAAGAGCTTTCTCTTGAGTATGAACTTTTTCCAAAAACTTCTTTCATTGGGAAAGTGAAAATTACACTACTGAGCATATTGTTTTGTATTTTCCCTTTCAATAATTTTGAGCTGAGTTGGGAGCTTTGCCAATATAATCATTTTTTTTCTTCTTGTTTTTGTTACGGACACTTTGGGTTCATTCATATTTTGGTTAACAACATCTATAGCAACACATTATTCCTAAATATATAGGTTGAACCTATGCAGTGGATGCAGTTTGATTATTTAGTTTCCTGTTTGTGATGAAACATTACTGAAAAGTTAAACATTTGAACACAATGGCTAGATTTTCTTACAATGTTGAATAAGATGAATTAGACCAGAATCAGATACTGTATGGATATATTACTTTGTCCACCATCAGTCCCTTAAAGGTTTGATGAGCTGCTTACTGCACCCATCCTTTCCACCTCATCTCTGTCACTTTTATTTTTCCATAGCATGTATATTATTACTTTAGTAAAACTAAGGCACAGCTCCCCTGAGAAGTCTACAATGCTGGGAAAGGTACAGAAAAAGAGAAGGAGAAAATGACCGGCAGCACCAATTATAGTGGTGATGGGTGGACCGTTGGAAGATCTCAAGGGCCAGGTTGAGGACAGCTATCCGGGAGAAGGTCTATCTATGTAGTTACTAATGATTTACACTGACATGATGGCACATAATCTATCAAGGCACATTTCATTAACAAGCCACAACAGTAGAAGTATGTGAATTAAGGTTGCCATAATGTTAGCAGTACAACAGAATAATTCAGCAGTACTCTTAATTTAGTTTAACCTTCATTCCTGTTTATTAGATTTGGGTTAGGATTAAGGAAAAAGTAAAACATCTGCAGACAAGGAATTGGGAGGGAAATGGAAGAAGTGCTTGACTTCTCCTAAACCTGCACACTGTTCCCCCCTTAAAAATTAGACAATTAGTCCTGCTTCACTGAATATATTGTAGATTACATTGCTTAAATGCAACTAACCCGTATTAGATTACCGGATCTTCTGGATTTGTACTTTGAAATGTATGTATACTTTGTATTTAAAATGAAATAGCTCTTCCCCCCAGTCTATCAGATTAACGAAAACTACAGCTTGTCCCCGTGAAAGAAAAAGACCCAAGTATTCAGAACAGTTTTGCAAATCCTGCAATTGGAAACAAGTGCCTCTTGTTTATTTTCCTTACCTGACCAGCAGTCCTCCAAGACATATTCTTTAGATTCTCTATTTATTTCCTGGTTCTGCTAGAACTTTCTCCCTTACCTGAATTCTTGACTTTCGTTTTCCAATGCTCTGTGTAAAGAAAGAGCAGAATTTCTTGGTAGCTAATTGTTATAATATTCCACACCCTTCTAAAGGACAAAGGTTACACTGTTCATTCGGCCTGTAAGCTCAATTAAGCTTCTAAAGTTGGTGCAATTAGTGCAACTTATACAGTACATGCTTTATTCATCTAATTTTCTCCCAATGTCTATTCTATTCTATTCTATTCTATTCTATTCTATTCTATTCTATTCTATTCTATTCTATTCTATTCTATTCTATTCTATTCTATT